ACTCCCATGGATAACCCTAAATCCTGTCCTGAACCTGCTTAGTTCATGAAGACTTATGCTGTGGCCACTTTTTTTTTCCCCCAAGAAGGCCTAAAAAGCCAAATTCTCAAAGGAATTAAGTTAAAAATCAAACACCCTTTCCTTAACCTAGAGATCACAAAACTGTCAAGGCAGGGCCCTTGCGCCATGCCAAGTAATCCCATTCTGTCATCCATTTCCTGGCATTTTCATGTGTCATGTTAAGTTTCCCTGCAACACCATGCAGCAACAGTAAATTATAAAATTAGTAAGTTATTTGAATGAGAAAGCGTATTACAGTGCATGATTTATAGCGCACAGGCTTACGAATGATAACCATCGTGCAAGAGGTGCTTTGCATAACAGAGGTTACACTACACCTCCGCAGTGTAATTGCACGCTCCGTGAGTGCTGCAGGGAGGGCAGGTGCATACCTACGAGGCTCTTTGCCACATCTGCCTTCTGCAATGCAGATCTGTCGTGTCAGACAGCTGGTGCCTTACTCAAAGGGTCCGTCCGAAGTTTCGAGAGTGTCACAGTTTCCGTGCAGCCAACGTGACGCTGGCTGGAGCTCTTGTATGACTTCGGAAAATTAAGGGAGGGTTCTCGTGGTGTGCGGTGTGCGGGCTAGGAAGTCCAGCTGAAGCTTCCTCCTGGTCAACTGACAAGCTGAGCCGTCTGGTGACAAGAACATAAAATTGCTATCAGGGAGAACTCCTGGATAACAGAAGCAGAAAAATCTTAATTGATATGCAGAGAAACAATGCTTAATCTGTATTTTCATGATTTAAGTGAAAAGGAGACAAGGGAACACATGATGTAGAGATTTTCTGATAGTTTCACACCCCTTACGAGTTTATCTAACTTGAATTCGAGGGGAAAGAATAGATCCTTGATACTTCAGCTGGAAGAGAAATGAAAATACTTCAGGCTGCATTCAGTAAGCCTTGGCTATGCCCATGTCCTGTTCGGTCAGGCAGTATTTGGAGGCTGGGTTGTTCTTTTTAGGAATGAGACCCTGAGCTGTGAAAGCTGAGGAACATCCTGGGGTTGTCGATTGACATCAGACTCAGCCAGGGGAAGTTCTTTGTTAGTATTTGCAATGAACTGAAATTAATGGGCAACCCCACAGTTTCAAATGGAATTTAAAAATGTGTTTATTGTTATTATTATCATCATCATCATCATTATTTTGGTTCAACTTCATTTCCAATGTAATAATCAACTGCTTAATTTTTATTTGAAGCAAAAAATCATGACCATTACTGTCTGAAAGCTGGTCTTGTAATAAGAGTGGTACTAAGGTGAGCTGGCAGTCTTCCTAGTTTTCTTTGGGGGGTGGATTGGTACACCCCTAAAATATGTATCATGCAAGATGTCTTTTGGGAAGTTCAACACTTCCCTCAAAGCTAGGAGGGCAAGGTTAAGGCAACACAGTAATCCCCTCTATTTTTTTTTTTTTTTTTGTCAAGCAGACAGAAGCAGAGAAACAGCTCACAGCTCAAAGATTACTTGAAATTTGAGGGAGCTATGTTGTCCCCAAGATTTAGACACTCTCCAACACATTTACATTCTCTACTTTATATTATTTTGTATATGTTAACTTATATAAGTATCATTACATTAAGCACATTAACTTACTATATGCTGTTTATATTCTCTCCTGTTTTCTTTTTATTGTGAACTAAAATTTCTTCAGGGCATAAAACTAAGTTTTCATCAGGGAACATATAATTGCTGTTTTGCTGGGAAATTATCAAATCAGCAAAGAGTTTCTTCAGTATGATAATCATTTTCTGTGGGAAGTTAAGTCCATGACTGACTGATGTTAGAGAGACTAAAGGGAAAGATAAAAACAAATTTTAAAAATAACTCCACTAGTTAATTTGCTGATCTTCACATGATACTTCATTATGTTTTTGCCCAGTTTTAAGTTAATCAAGCAGTTTGATTTTGTTTTTCCTAAGATGAGCATAATCACCGTGATTGATATTGATTGTTGTTGTTAGGAAGGCACAAGCACCTAAAGAGAGTGGGCCTTGTCTCCAAATACACTTATAAGCAAAGCAGGTTATTCTCAGTCACACTCAGATTAAGATTACATATAAAGCATATAAAGTAATTTACACAGTAGAATCTGCTTGGAAGAGAAGAACATTTTTAATATTACAAAACTCCCCAGGTTGCAGTCTCAGCTAGCAGTGGTTGGTGCTATACATTCACCTTTCACCTGATTTTCACATCGGCAGAACACTCTTGAAATCCTGTGTCTCAAGACAGCATTTTTACGTGGCTGGAAGATTTATCGTGGTGCAGATAAATCTGGCATGCCAACTTGTTCTTTCCCTCGGCCTGCCAATGTCAGGTTCCACTCCGTGCCAGGCCTAGTGAAACTTGGTGACAAGAAGCTCCACCTCTGGTTTTCTGGCTAATTCTGCGTTATTTTATTATTGTCACTTAAATGAACAGGTAAAAGAAAGAACCCATTCTAAACAATCTGCAGTTTAGGTCAGATGTCATAAAAAATGTAACATTATACAAGGAAATGGATGTAGGAGTGAAAAGTGATAGGCTTCTTGTTTACTAGTATTCATATATTAAACCCATTATTATTTTAATAGAATACTGTTTGTATAGATGCAGATTTTGTCTCTGTAGTCCATGCTGAATGGCACTGCAGTCCATGAGCAGTTCCACTGGAAGTGTTTGATCAGGAGTTAGCAGGACTGTGGCTAACCTTGGGAAACATGCCCGGCAAGGAGATGTTTTGATGTAGAGAAGGAATCGTTGTATATATCAGGAAAGGAAAAGGTTTCTGTATGATGTGATGGACAAAACGGAGAAACAAAAGTGATCAGAGAATCTGAAATACCTGTCTGTTAAATCCCTATCTGTGACATTAAAGCATGCACAGTACATCTTTGAAAGAGCTGTCAGCACAAGAAATGATCGGTAAGTCAGAATGCTACACACAACACCATGGGAATCAATACCAAGGACTCTGAGGCTGAGGTGGCTTTTTCTGACACTGCAGCAGAGTTAAATCTCTCGCACCCAATAATCAGGAGGAAATACAGCCAGGAGCTTGCTGAACACATTTCTATCACAATAAATCTGTAGGAGCAATTCCAGCTGTCAATCCACTCTCAGTACACTGGCAAAGACAACCACACAGAATGAAAAATCTTACATGAATTTTTGGGCTTACACGTAATGTTTCCTTCATACAGAGGTCTCAGATTGTTCAACACAGAAACATTCAGAGCCATTCAGATTTGAAGCGACCTTTAGAGGTCGCTAGTTCGACCTCCTGCCCAAAGCAGGACAATTTGTGAGACCAAAGCAGGGTGTTCAAGGTTTGTTCGAGTTGTGGCTTGAGAACACCCAAGGGCAGAGGTGGCATAATCTTTCTGGGAAACCTGCTCCACTGCCTGGCTGCCCTTGTGGGGAAAATGTTTTTCACCTCCAGCCTGAAGCTCTTTAGTTTCAAGCTTATGCCTGTTATTTCTCATCCTGCTGCTGGGCATCGCTGTGAGAACCCATCCCTTGCTCCTCAGTTGCCTCCCTACAGGCACTGGGGTGCAGTTAGGTGCCTCAAGGCCATCTCTGCTGCAAAGCTATGCTCTGTTCACGCTGCCCTGGGCACTGCTGGCCCTTGTTGCTAATCGGGGACACGGCTGGCCCCTGCTCAGCCTGCTCCCTGCTAGGACCCAGGGCCTTCTCCATGGAGCTGGCCCCATCCCTATGCCAGGGCTCTGCCTTCCCTGGAGCAGGGCTGCAGAGTGGTCCTGTGTCATGTGCATGGGGATCCTGTCAGGCCCATCAAGGTCCCTCCAGATGTCAGCCCTGCCCTCACGTATTATTGTCTGGTCCTTGCAACTCGATGTCGTCTGCTAACTTGATGTAAACGCACCCTGTCACCTTCCCCACCTTGTCAGTGATACAGATCCTAAAGAGGACAGGTCCCAGGACAGACCTCTCTGGTCCCCTCTGGTTGCCAGTCTCAATGTGGGGTGCGACTCCTTATCCACCAGCCTCTGAGGCCTGCTGCCCAAGCGGGTATTTACCCACCTGGCTGCCCACCAGCCCAGGCTGTTGCATCCCAACCTGGGTAAAAGGATTTTTTAGTAACAGTGCTGCAGGCCTTGCTAAGGTCAAGGTAAATGACACCCACTGCTTTCCCCTCACATGCAATTCTACTTTTTTTTATCACAGAAGACAGCCAGGCATGAGTTACCCCTAATTAATCCATACCAGCCGTCCACAATCACATTCTCCTTCATGTGCCCAGAAAAAATTCTTCAAGAAGACTTCCTCCAGCTACAGAGAGGCTGACTGCCATGTAATTGTGTAGCTGTCTTTCTGACCACTTTTGAAGATACATGCTATTTCTCCACAGTTATTTGGGATCTTTCAAACATTTAAGCAGCCTTGCAAGAGCATTGGTCTGAAAGTAATCATCTAAGTTGCAGAGTACTTCCCCATCAGGTCCCTGCTCTCAAAAGATGCCCATAAAGATGAAAGATTACAGAAGTCACTTTGAAAAGGAGATGACTAGACTTGGGCTTAACTTCTTACTCATTTAATCATTTCTTCCATTCTTATAGGATAACTAAGTTGGTAGCACACAATTTTTTGTTAAGTTGTTGAAGATCTTTTCATAATTAATTCATAACTAATATGAAAGCTTGTTAGGTACTGTAGGATTTTAATTTCTAGGAAAATTTGGGCATTCATTCTTTATTATTATATATCATATACATGTGTAGGAATCTGTCTGTATTATATGCATAACATTAAAAGGAAAATAATTTGCAAAGTCTTGATAATACCTAAACCTATAAGAAATGCAGTCTACCACATTCCTTTCTGGCATTTGTATGGAGTTCTCTCTCTGAATGTCATAAATGTCTTTTGCAGTTCTAAGGCTGAGAAACTGGTCTTTGTCCATGGAAACTTAATGCCATGAGAAGAAAGCTTCTCTTACAGGCTTGGAGGCCACCATACCCTGTTCCCCTTGGGATGGGATTCCAGTAGAGAAGCCACGAGCTGCCTTACCAACCACCAGGGTGGCTTGTATTGGTACTGTAGTCTGCCTGGACTCCTTAGTTTTAATTTTCTCACGATGCGATGAAACCACACTGACCTCATAAGCGAATTGCTTAGATGACATTGCCAGATGATCCAACAGATTATTTACCTTCCAGCTGCAAAAAGAGCAAGCATAAAACCACCTGGTCCTTCCAGTCAAACCTCAGGGAAAAGCACCTTGTACGTCCGCTGATGTGGTTGACAGTTTCCGCAGACAAAACCTACAATTTGAGCATCCAAGGATAGACATCTCGGCATCATTCCTGCCCTCTGGTCTCAACCATCTGATGTGTCTTCTCCAGCTGTGGCCATTATCTAGCACATCAGATAAAGGCTATGAAGAAAAATCCATAATACATGCAGATTAATATGCCCTTCGCAGGAAAACAAAATCATTGCAGATTTTCATCAGTGTGATTGCATGGACTTTGCACAGCAACAGATGCTATAGACACACTATGGTTTATCCCTGAAAACTCTCCCTAGAGCCAATAGGAAGAAGTTGAATGACATAATACAAAGATTCACAGTAATGTACAACATATCAGTGATACTTGAGATGGATAGCAAAATAACAGCTTTAAAAAACACTTCTTTAGTGCTCTGTTCCCATAGTTACATGGAACAGTCACCACTGTCAAGTGACCAGCAGTGCAAGAAGACCCACTTGCTGGAAATCAATGCTAATCAAACTCAGACTGGAAATTAGGCATGAATTTTTAACAAAGAAGCTGGTTAATCACAGGAAATCTCACCCTGAGATTATTCATATCCTCCAGAACTGGAGATCTGCTCAACAGAAGTGCAGGAGTGCTCAAGCAGAAGGTGCTGAGCAAGTTTCTCTGAACTTAAAGGAATTCAGTTCCTGTCCTGTCTCTCCTCAAATGTTCTGCAGCCACGTCATCCCACAAAACACTCTCTCAGGATCACCTGGTTGCTTTTAAAGATGTTACTTTCAGATCAAGTGCTGCCAAGTCTGCGTCTCTTACTCAGACCAAGACAAACTAAATCAATACTTGCTGGTTTATGTGCAGCTAGGCTGGTGGTGATACTTCAGAGTAACTAATACAGGCCTCTGCTTCTGTGATTATGGATGGTAAACACTGCACAGCAGCTGGGACCCCTGCAGGAGTCGAATGAGGTGAGTCAGTTTAGAAAGCCAAATGTAGATAAAACTGTTAACTTACTTGTTTGGTAGGGCTGATTTTCTGTTAGCTTAACTGTGATCAAGCTAGTCTCATAGCAAGAGCACTGGAAGAGGAGCAAAAAGTACTGTAGTAAGGAGAGAGGTGGGCTGCATCTGGATAATTTAGCTGCTCTCTTCAGCAGAAAATTAGAAAAGTTCATCTGCACCATACCCTGACCCTGGGAGCTGCTTTTCTTTAAGCTGGCAAGGTGGTAACTTGAACGTGTATTCTCTTTTTTGGGGAAAACATGAGTAAGATGATGTTATTTTTGTTAGTGCTTACTGTTTGTATTGCTTAGGTACCTCACCAGCCATCCTGCGTTGGTGGCCAAACCCCACCTAGGGATTACCACACGCCTTGCTGGAGTTGCTTATAATAGATACAATGGCTGTTGAGTCCCACCCTTTAGTCTGGCAAGACGGAACATATGTAAGGCTTGTCAAGTGACACGGCATTCAGACAGCACAATGACAGGGCAGAGCATGAGTACATAAACAGATAGGCAGATCAATTAGTTACTATGGCCTCAAATAGCGACAGTTATCATGCTATCTGTATATAGGCTAAACATTACCCTAGCAGCCGATCATTTAACAAGTGTGTAAATTGACTATACCTTTTCTCCAGCAGCAAAAAGGTGGTTGGAGAAGCTCCCCTCCAACCCTGGTAGCTCATTCCTGCCTACCATCACCATTCCTCAGGAAGAGTGACACAACTATAAACTTTGCTTCTGAAATTATCTGTCTCTCAAATAAGCCCTCTCATATAGGAAAAAAAGATTAATACTTAATCCAGATCATTTCTGGCACCTCCAGACAGCTTCATGGCACAGCCTAAGGGTGTGGGAGAGCCACAAACGATGAGTAGCAGGGCAGGAGGAATGGGGAGTCAGAAGCTTTCAGGAGAGCTTCCTCGCTGGAGTAAACATATCACTGAGTCATCCCCTTTCTTAGTGATGAGAAGAAAATTTAATTGAAGGACAAGCTATCCAAGCATTACCACTGTTTAAACGACTATAATTATAATAATGCATCATAACTCAATACAATACTTTAGATATGGTAGCTACACAAAGATAGGCTTGATGGCTGTGTGCTTACCCAGCGTGCAGTATTGTCAGTTGGTATGCCATCTAATATTCTTTTTTTTTTTCCATTATATTATGAGTTTTACATTCTTGTTTTCTTGCAGAATTTTTTTCTCCCCCTGAGTATTTAGGAAAGTGCCTATCTCAACTATTTTACTTCTTGGTTCAGAGTTAGGGACTACCTCTTCCCTTTCAGTATGTTTCAGTCTTAGTATTATTTCCCACAGCTGTCTCTCTGCTTTCAGTATGTATCAGCTCTGATCATATTCTGTTGGAATCACTTCTCTATCACTAGATATAATCACCACTCTGGCAGCCGTACCCTGGGGTGCATCCGGCCCAGCACTGCCTCTGGCCGAGGGAAGGGATTGTCCCGTTCTGCTCTGTGCTGCTGTGGCCTCACCACAAGCACTGTGTGATTTTGGAGAATACAGTATACAAAGAACATAAAACTATTAGAGGGTGTTCAAAGGAGGGCTATAAAGGTGGTGAAGGGTCTGGAGGGGAAGACGTGTGAGGAGTGGCTGGAGTCACTGGGAAGGTTCAGCCTGGAGGAGGCCGAGGGGAGGCCTGATGGCGGCCTGCAGCTCCCTCAGGAGGGGAGCGGAGGGGCAGGCGCTGAGCTCTGCTCTCTGGGGACAGCGACAGGACCCAGGGGGACGGCATGGAGCTGGGAGAGGGGTGGGCCAGGCTGGGGGTTAGGGAAAGGGTCTGCACCCAGAGGGTGGTCGGGCACTGGGACAGGCTGCCCAGGGCAGTGGGCACAGCACCGAGCTGCCAGAGTTCAAGAAGTGTTTGGACAGTGCTGTCAGACACAGGGTCTCTTTTTTGTGTGGTTGTATGTGGAGCCAGGGAGGATCTTTTTGGGACTCTTCTGACCTGGGATATTCCATGATTCTAATTCAGACCTCAGCTCCAAGACTCACGACAGAGTATACTTCGCTCTTGTGAAGCTACAGAGTTAGTCTCCTAGGTGTTAATCCTGGTGAGTACTCTAGTACAGTACCATCCAAAGAGAGTAACTGAGTGACTTTGATTGCTTTTTAAAAAAATAATAATAATAAAGTGTGCTTAGCTACTTCAGTGGGCGTGCACCCAGATCCCTAGCCCTGTGCATGTCATGTTTGGCACTGTCCTGGTTGAGCCCTTGCCCCGTGTCCCAGCACTACCCTTGTGCCAGCTCTGGCATCTGTTGGTCCCTTTGCTGAGGGAGGAAACTGGCAGCCCCAGAAAGGCCAGAACTGACAGCCAGCAATTAGTCCTCCTTACAATGCCATGGCATTGTGACTTACTGATGCAGTTTTTTGTTTTGGCTGAAGCTGTCACCAAAAAGGGAAGCTTTTCTCTCCTTCCTCCCCCTAGCCTGGGTTCCTTGCACTAAAGGTCACGTTAACAACCTCAGCCCCCCCCCCCAAAAAAAAAAGAAAAAAGAAAAAAGAAAAAAGATTAGTTTCCATCTCATCAGTGAGGATGGTTGAGAATGCCAATGCAGGGAGAGAGTGGAATGTGAATGTATGAGAGGAATGTGAATGATGTGAATGTATGTGTATTTGTGTGAGTGCCTGCTTTCCCGAAGATAGTTTAAGCTACTGCATCCAGAGCTCCTGATGGAGGAAATGTGTATGTGCTTGAAACATTAGAGGAAATTCAGTTCTATTTGGCATATCTACAACCAAAGAGCCCTCATTCTGCTTTACAGGAGAACATTTCTATCTATATAAAGCATTTGCAAACATGACAAGAATCTCTGCTGATTTTTTTTTTCCCCTGTTTGGTTATGCCAGCAAATATGCAAATACGCTGGCTTTTTTTTTTTTTTTTAATCAGGGTGGATGGGGTTATATTACAAACCAGTATTAGCAAATTACTGTCAGAAAGGTAAGTTGTTATAACTTTTATTAAAAAAAAGATTGGACACAGCTAGTTTTTATGAATGTTCATGTATGATGGAATGGAGGAATTAATATTATGAAAGAATATCGATTCATTGTTTCCATTTAATGTGCAAGGTGGCACATATGTAAAAGATTTCTATGTTAAACTTGAAACATTTCAGTAAGCAAAAACTTAAAAAAAAAAAAAAAGATTTAGTTGAAATGAGAGTCTCTGGCACATTCTCCAAGAGTAATGTTACAATAATTGCCATGCACCTTCAATAGAACGAAAAGGAAAATTATTACAGAACAGCTACAGTTTGTCAAACAGCTTCAGATATGGCACAAATAATAATAAGTGTACTTAGTATTTCCAGAAATAGGTTAACAAATGAAGGCTTTCATAGATGTCCTGGGGGAAACAGAATTAACGTGCATTCCCTGGGGAGGCTCAGAGGTGGAGTGCTGACAGTAGAACGGTGGCATGTACATGATGAAAACAGCGCACATGAGGAGGGTCAAGGACAAAGAGGCACTGGCATTTGAAATTCTGTACACTTGTTTTCATTTGTTTGTCTTTGATAGGATCTTTTATTATGGCTAGTTTTAAGATTAGGTCCCAGCCAATACGTTAGTGAGTAGCTTGGCATTTTCTACACAAATGTTCATTGGCTGCCTTCCATTTCAGGATGTAAAAGAAGTGAACCACGGTTCAGCACAACCTTCTGCTCATTGTTTTCGCTTGTGTATGCAGAAGGAGAAATTTTCTTCTCCATTGGCCTTCTCCATTGGCCGTCTCTTTGGCCTTTTGGAGGCCACTTTTATTGTGCAGTGTCTTGAGGCTCAAGGGACAATGCAGCACATCTGTGGTAAAAGCAGAAGGCTCTACTTGTTCTTTGCAAACACATTAACAGTGTTAGGAAGCCCGAGGCCTTTCTTCCCCTGGGGAAAATGGCCTTTAGGCTCTGGTGAAGTAAGATGACAGATTTGCCTGAAAAAGCCTGCTTGAGCCTTCGCATGAAGTCTATTTCTTGTCAACAAAGTTCTTTATTTTTCAGGGTGTCTAGCTGAGGCATTTCAACTGCAGTTCCAGTCTTCAGATCAGATTATGGGGTTTTCCATTTTAATGCTGCATTCTTGGTATTTGTTGTTGTTGTTTTTTTGCCTAACACCTGGGAGCTGTCTGAGTTAGGATGCACCTTGGAAACACGAGTGTATTTAGACAAATACAAAGGCCAAAGGATGCTGTCATATCCTGCTGACTTCTATTCTAGCTGAAATAAAGACATAATATAGACACAGTATTTTTGTAAGATGATTGGTGGAAGCTGATCCTCAGAGCTATTTGGATAGCTGTTCCTGATGAGGAGCAATACTCTGTGCTCTCCACCCTCTGACAGTGCTCCATCATATATCTTCTGTAGCCAAGATGGACTGTCCGGTCTGTTTTCTGGACAGTAAAAGACATCATCCTTGTATCTCCATTAACATGCTGTTCAATTTCAGGTGAATGCAAGAAGAAAATTTTTGCACCATGAGGGTGATCAAACACTGGCACAGGTGTCCACAGAACTTGTAGGATCACTGTTCTTGGAGTTACTCAAAACACAAGACCCCAGGCAACTTGCTCCTGCTTTGAGAAGGGGTTGGATAGAAGATCTAGAGAAGCATTTTCCAATATAAATTATTCTATGACACAAGTTCCAAACACCTCAGCTGAGCACAACTCAGGCTGGTAAGGTTTTTTACAGAGAGTAACTTTGCAGTCCCTGGAACCCTACAGTACCCACAGACGGTGTTTGAGCTCTAGAGGTAGTTTTTTTGTATCATTACAAATATAATGCTCAAATCATGAAAATCTTAATTTCCTCCATACTGGTCAGATGACCACAGAGGTATGCCTGAAGATGGTAATACATCCAGGCTTAAACACTGTTCAGTATCAATAAAGGAAGAAATGAAGATCAGTGATGTTGAGTACCTATCTTTTATT